TTGGTTGGTCGGTTGGTTGGTTGGTCGTGCTTTCTTCTGTTTTATTTATTTTCAAGTTTATATATTTGTCGTGTTTTGTATAGCCCTTTTGTTTATATTCTTTTTACACGTATTTTGTTTTCTTCCATCCCTAGCTTTGTGTCCATCACCTTGTTATTGCTATTACTACAAAATATATTATGTCACTTATTGCAATGGAAAAGGATTAACATTGAATCCGAATGAAACGTTTGATCATAAAACCCATTACTTGTAAGTACAAAAAACTTAAAAAATCAAACTATAGTTTCAGCTACCTAATATTAAAGTTCCAGATGAATCATAATTATCTCGCATCTCTCGATGACGCCTGATTCACCCCAGGAGTGAAATACTTCCCTAAGTAATGGAAGCCGAACAAAATGGAAAAGAGCCGGAATTAGAAAAGAACAAAATAAATGACAAATCGTGGGTGATATTTAAGAAAGAACGGCGCCTGGCTTACCATAGACGAACCTAACCAAAGGGGTAGTGTTCCCTTTCGCACAGTCTAGAAAAAGATGTTAACAAACCACTGTTTTTCCTGATTTTAGATACCTGATCAATAATACAATGACGTCAGTACCAGAAGGGATCTTCGATAACACGAAGAATCTTCTCCTCTTGTGGGTTTTAAAATAAAGAAAGCTATAATTTCATTCGTTAACGTCAGGTATAGAGCGTTTTCACTCACGTGAGAAGGCAGCCATATTGGTGTAACGAAAAAAAAAAAGAAACTTTCTGCACAGTTTTGGCATAAATATGTATTGTTTTGGTAGACCAATATGGCCGCTGTGACATCACGTGAAAACGCTTTAGAGCAGTTTTCGTAAGACTGTGAAAAGCTCAAGGCGCGAACACGGTCATGACATGGCAAGGGATACGCCAGACCAATCACATTGCTCGATCATTTAGTCTCCATCCAATGAAATACCCGGAAAACGGCACCCATACGACGCGGACACACTAACGGTACTGCCTGACCAATCACATTGCTCGAGAAAAAAATCAGCCAATTAAAATTCTAGAAAATATCACGGTCAATGGACGCTTACGGCACTGAGCTTTTCACAGTCATGCAAAAACTGTTCTAATAATATACAGTCAGAAATATTCTGCTTAATACAAGACTTTGTTTATTGAATGTGCTTGAAACAAACAACGCCATTTGCTAAGTCAGTACTCAGGATGTTAAATAACAAAGAGATGGGAGCACTTGAGAAAGTATTTGCATTTCTAATAGACTATTTCCAAGTTTCGTTTACGCTTTTATAAAAATCAGTTAAGAAACTCAGGTTAGGGCAGTGTTAATTAAGAAACCAGTGTACTTCTTTATTATTATTATTATTATTATTATATAGTTATTATAGTACGCTCGCGCTGATTGGTCGAAAACTGTGCTTTGTTAGTGAACGGATAACAGTGCTGACGCTATTCGTGCGCGCAAAGTGCTGCTAGATCCTGATGCGACAGTCTTTCTTTTTGCGTAAATATATTAAATACCGAATTAAAATTAGTAACTATATCATAAAACGAATAGAACAGCTTTTTCCGTGGTCCATTCAGTAATAAAGCACTTAGAAGCGCCGTAAGCGCTCAACATTTATTTTATGCTTCCGTCACTTCCTGCGGGCTTTGTCACTGAATGGAGCACTGTTTTATTTATTAAACTGTCTTGCTATACTTTCTCCGTAACCAGCGGTTGATCTCCCTGGTTTCTGTATTCGTACCACCACCCTTCTTTAGCACAATTTTGGTTCTTTGGAATTCTTCGCCAGGTTTGCTTCTCCACTTCTCAAGCAGGAGCACATTGGGACCACCAATCATAAAATGATAGAATTGCTTGTTTTTCTTATTGAAGGTCTTTCGTTGGGAATCAATTGAGCTCACTGCCAAATGGACTGTTTCAAAACAACAAATTTCTTGCAGTGCTGTAAGTGGAGAGAGAAGTATTTTGGGGTTAAAAAATAACTTGCAAATGCATTATTTAGAGAATCGTTACTGTAATCATCCACTATCCATACATCAATCCAATATATGTCCATCTATTTATCCATCCATCCATCCATCCATCCATCCATCCATCCATCCAT